GGGCCGGAGACAAGCTCCTCGACTGTGAAAGACACGGAGGACTAAACCCCCACGGTGGAAGAGTCTATACTCTCGTAGGACGTAGATGTCAGATGTCCACTCGGCCCCAACTAGCAAATATAGTTCCCAGTCCTTTTTAAAATGTCACTGCCCCTAAAGTATAGTTCCTAGGTCCACTCTGCCACTTAAAATGTTACTCTATCCGGAATAGTCACTTTGTAGTATATTTTGAGAGTGACCGGTTAGTGCCTACCTACCATAAAAGTGGAAAATAAACATCCCGATTGCAAGTCCCAAACATGTAATTTAAAGAAGTGGCTGGATCTACCCGAATCTTTGAATATGACACCATAAAAGACCAAAAACTTTATAGTAACTTTTCAAAGTAGGGGTTACTAACAAGTGCTACCATAATGCCTCCATTAAGTTTTTGTTACTTTATAGTAACAATTTAAGTTACGAGGTAGTCGCGGCCACGCGATCTAGTTACTTCTAATTTATAGTAGCATTGAAAGTACTAAAATGGTTACTGCTACCTTCCTAGGTCACTATAAATTAGCCGTCGCTCATCCATTGCCGGTTCAGCAAAAACGGCTACTTTATAGTGACCGTAACTTAATATACCCTAATAAATGTAATTGCCTCAGATTGCATCTGTGTGCTGCTCTGTTTTAGTGTTTTCTTTTACTTGTTTTTAAGCTTTATTAAAATTTTGTAAAATGTCTAAGGTGAATAAAAGTTAATTTTGATATTCTAGTACTTTCTACCGAAGAATTAAACAAAAGGAATCACTGCGAGTCGATGCATCAACATCAGAAACAAAAACTACATCTTTCTATAATCCTACTGATGAACATCAGAAATCATGTAGTGACTGAGACATTTTTGAAGCTGTTTCTGTAGATGAGACTAGTGTTAGTTCTTCTGAAACAGAATCTCAGAGGAGAACTAATTTAAGAACCAACAACAATATAAAACAAGAGCTAAAAGAGTGGCGTTAAAATACTCTATATATACCTCATGTATAATATGAAAACACTAATAATATAAAAACATTAATAATAGACAATGCACAATAAGTAAAAAATAACTTAAAAGGACAAGGCGGAATGTTATAGTGGCACCCAGTGGCACCAATGGAGTGTATAGTAGCCACCGCCGCTATCGGTGTAGCATACTCTCCAATTAAGTGGCAATTTGGTGGAGCAGGGAACTTTCTTGGAAACAATCACTTTATGGTTCCAAAGAATCGTTGACCATGTAGTTCCAAAAAAGTTATTGTTTCTATAAAGTCGCCTTTGGGTAGCTACAATTGTCACTTTATCAATCCGAAAAGTTTAAATATCCAAACGGGTAGAGTGGGCCTAATATGTTATTGTTCCCGGTACTTTGTGGAAGCATATGGAACTATAAAGTATTTTTCGGATTAAACGGCCATATTTTTTTCATGGCTTTTTAGACGAACAGACAAATGGCTCAAACATTATGCGTTTTCAAGCTAAATATACCTAGATTAAAGCTTTTTTCCTTAGTTATTTTGTTATTTCTAACGGTGAAGTAATATTTTATAACTTTGTTATTTCTAACGGTGAAGTAATATTTTATAACTTTGACACCGGTTTCAAGCAAATTATTATTATTTTTTAATTACTACATGAGTTTCTATTGCAAATAATATAATAATTTGAGAGGCGCTCGAAAATTTTGTCATATAAACCCACTATTTTATTCAGTAAAGTTGATTGCGTTCTGGAATTTACCTAAAAAGGGCGTTAAAATCGCACGGTAAATAACTGAATAATAATAATAAAAATAATAATGGCTTCCATAATTATTTTCCATCATGACATATATTTTTATGAAATGTGAAATTGTATGAGGAGGTCGCTGTGAATAAAGTTTAACAGTTTAACGAAAGTTCCACATGTCGGTGGATAACACTTGGCTGCCACGAACCCGCGACTAGGCAGCTTGGTAACCATAGACTTGAAATAAAATATAGACTGAGCATCTCATTCATAAATAGCTGGAACATGCGGTCAGGCAATGTCTTGTTATTGTTGTGTTATTGTTTTAGGTTATAACGAGTGCGACACGAGTGATAGATAGGTTGTCTCTGTCGTAACGGTCGTTCCCTGACGACTCTGCCGAGAAACACAACACTGTCTTTCGTTTCTCAAGTACACCTGAACTCTCCGTATCATAGCCGGGTAATTTTTTTATTTTAATGAAGCTATAATTAAATTAAAAATATATCGTATTTAAACTTTTTTATATTTTATTAAGATTTAGGACAGGTTTTTTAAATAAAAGTTTAGAAAAAACGTCTTAGAGTCCAAAAAGGATAAAAATAATAAAATACACTTTATAGAAGAAATTTTATAATCGAAATTACGTAATTTTTGAAATTAATAATAAATTATTAATTTTAGTCAAACATTTACAACACCTAATATTAATCAAAACAGGATCTATTCCACAGATATAATACAATCGGCGACAGGGAGAGAAGAAAAATATTATTGTTGTAAATTTTTTTCTGGTTAAGTGATGTCTTATCTATATGTATATATGATGTCTTATCTATGATGTCTTATCTATATAATGATGTCTTATCTATATGTAAAACATAAATCTGTTCCATTAAAGCAAGGAAGGTGATAGGAAGTGGATAAAATGAAAACTACATTTATTTAACTCGGTACTGTCTTTATTATACCGGGTGCGTCCCAAAAGTGGCTTATCCCTATAATTTTTTTATATTTTCAAATAAAAAAACAAGATTTAGTATGTTAGTATATGACATAAATTAGGATTGATTGACGCATTCAATTGTTTTTTGTCACTTCCTGTTTCACCGGAAATGACTATAACTTTTAATTTTTAAACAGCACCCTCGGTATATTTCTACTTTATTCGATAGAAAATGACACTCTGAATAGAATGACATATCATATGTCAACTTTTGACATTTTCGCATATGGTTTAATTGTAATTGTAACACGCGGTTCATAACGATAATTTGACTCGAAATACCAAGTGTGGTATATTCATAAGAAAATGCTTTTTCTAAATATGCTAATGAGTTACCCTTGTTCCATTTCAAAAAATTAACATATGTATGATTAAAAATACGATTTGTACATCTTTTAACTGGCCTAGACAAGACTACAAAACCCATTAGACGATCAAAACAATTTTTCCAAGGCTCCTTGATTAAAACTTAGTGTTTTTAACAACACCATGGCACCCTGGATTGAAATTTAAAATAGGATTTGTTTTTAAGCGACAATGTCAAAAGTTGACATATGATATGTCATTCTATTCAGAGTGTCATTTTTTATCGAATAAAGTAGCAATATACCGAGGGTGCCTTTAAAAATCAAAAGATGTAATCATTTCGGTGAAACAGGAAGAGACCAAAAACAATTGAATACGTCAATAAATCCTAATTTATGTCATATACCTACTAACATACAAATCTGTTTTTTTTTTATCTGAAAAAATAAAAGAGTTATAGGGGTGAGCCACTTTTGAGACGACCCGGTATATTAAAAAATATTGTTTCACAATGTAATATAATTTTAAAATTCTTGTATGTTATTTAAGATTCTGAAGATAATTTTAGAATAAACCGGAATATATTTTTAATAAAAACATTATTAATTATTAACAGGGTTATAATTATGATTTTGTTACAGTGTAAGTAAGTAAATAATGTAATGTAAGAGAGAAAAAATTCAGATTTTACATTTTACTAAAATATTATCTAAATAAGCGCCTTTCTACAACAACGCCACTGACTCCTAATGGGTAAATTGAGAGTTGCCTACCGGTCAAAAGTCGTTTCAGGACATAAATGGATTATTTATGTCAAATTTCTTGCAAATTTGGCACTGGCGAACCATATTTTATAGTTCTTGAACAGAAAAAGTCAATAAAATAAACCCTTAAGGACCACAAGCTAAGAAAATGCGTAATACAGCCGGGGAGATAGCGGCAACAAAGCTTTGCCGCACACGTCCGACACGTACTACAAGGTAATAAATGAATGAATAGGCTCCCTCGCCTCTAATCGGTGTTGTCATATTGTAAAGAACTTATCCTTTTTAAACAGTATCCGACTTATAATTTAGTAGTATAAGGACTATTTAATACATCTATGGAATATTAAAACCTACTTTATTAAACTAGTATTAATATCTCAATATATGTGTATAACAAGAAAAAAAATATTGATAATATTAAAGACGTGACAACATAGGCTGGATGAGGAAGGCTCGGTCGACTGTACCCAGAAGTAAACATGTGTACAAAAAAGAATGTTTGTCCGCGTTGGGATGTAAATAGTGTAGTTTATATTTTATTTTAAGTCTATGTTCGTAACAGATAAGTCCCATTCACCATTAGGCTACTTTATAGTAACACATCATAGTAACTCTTTTAGTGGCAAAAACTACCCAAGACACTACCCGGCTACTCAAAATCTTTCCCCATTTTGGTCGCAGTTACTTAGCAGCTACGAATATACGACGTAGCCGCCGATGGTCACCGCCCACTTTGTAGTGGCTTTGATAGTAGCAGTTACGTATCTGCCACTATAAATGCTAGTTGGGGGAGGATGAACAGTTGTTGTCAGAGGAGGATGGGAAATACCTTGTCTCCCCTACAACAAGCTCCCCATATGTATGATGAGTTATAGACTGTGTGATGACTCATAACTCAAGAAAGGGGGACACAATAGATGTTTAAGGTTACGCCGGTGATTTCCACTGATTCTACATTCTACATTGGGTTACTAAAAGATAAATAATAAATTGTCATAAGGAATATTCGGATGTAAAAATACTTTAATGGATAGGAAATAAAACTGTTATGAAAACGATAACTAATATACTAATAATAACTCTTAATAGAAGATTATTTTCTTTTATCTATGTATATAACAGAATTCTTTTTTGACATTCATTGACGTAAACAAAATATGTTGACGTTTTTTTCAAACCAAAATTTCGAGTTCACAGAAAAGACCTCAAAGACAGTCCCGGATAAGCTTCCAACTAAATTCTTGTAGTTTGTACTCAATTATATAATGCTGATGTATTTACTACCGATAATTTTGGTAAATATTCAATAATAATTATCGCCAAAAGAGAAAAAACAATATAAAGATAAGAGATTGGAGTACAGAGGATCGATACGCAATATAAACCAATTAGTTCAGTCCAATCTAGTCACAAACAGAAGAAACAACATCGGGCACGATAAGGAATCGACTGTTTTTCGTATCAGTTTAACCTTTCGAAATTTTGATCTTTATGTTGTGCGCCGGCCAGTGCGAGAGTCCACTTCGTCCAGGTTTGTCTGAAATTTTGGAAACGATGTCGAGCAAATTGTTAAAAATTGGGTTCATCGGAGGCGGCAAGATGGCACAAGCCATGGCTAAAGGGTTTATATCTGCCGGTAAGTTAATTCTTTGAAATACAAAATACCGTGAGTACGCCTATGACTCTTAAGCTTAACCAATGTCGTAACTCGGGTTTCCAATTTTCGGGATCGGGATCCTGTTTTGAAATCCCGGGATTAGCACCTATCATCCCGGAGTACCGGGATTGACTATCAGAATGAGAAATTTAATCTAAAGAAGGACTTAATAAAAATGCAGCTATATATACCAAAAATAAAATAAAAAAAGAGCTTTATTAAGATAGACAAAACAAAGTAACATATTAAAGTAAGTAAAAAATGCAATTATTCGTGTTGCAAAACAAATAAACTACAGGATCATGGTACAAAGAATACAAGGTATGATCGATAGCGGCTCCAATTTCGTTCAGTTCGCGCATACCACCTGTGACGTCACTATGAAAATAATGAATAAATAAAAAATAAAGAAAGTTGACAGGGGATCTGCATTTTTTGGGGTTATGGTTAAGAATTGTTTATTTTTAAGACTTTTTAGTTCGTTTAATTTAATAATTACTAAAACCAGCAGTTCCAAAAATATATTTAAAAATAATAATTATCTATTAACATGGATTTGGACGATAGGTAAGAATACTAAATTTATTTCTATATTCGGTATAAAATTGTTTATTAGGTTTTTAGTTTGCGATGTTTATGGTAAATAATTTTCATTTTCATTGCCTCTGAATTCACATGAGGACAGAGTTGAGGATATCTATGGAAAAGTAACCACAAGAGGAATTGTTACATCATTTAAAAAATGTTGGGAAGTTTATTGTTTCCCATCGAAAAGTAGAAAATGCCAATGCAGATGAATGTATTGTAATTGTGATAGAAGTAATTCCAAGGGTGAAGTTTATTATAATTAGTGGAAGTAATTCCAAGGGTGAAGTTTATTATAATTAGTGACCTGTGCTTTTCTTTTTATATGTAGATGTTTCTGGTTTTGAGAATAAATCCGTTGAACGACACCCAAAATTTAGAGGAAGTATTTGCATACCCAGAATATGCCCATCAAAGATTATATAGCTCAAATTTCCTTTAATGGTAGGCAATTATTCAATGCAAATTAACTTTTTAAGTGACTGAAATATTAAATAGTTTACAATATGGTATATCATTAAAAATATATTACTTTTAGGTACAATTAGGGCCTGATACATTTCAAAAAGTAGAATATTATTTTATATTAAATGAGGTATTGTACCAACAGTCAATTTATATTAATACCGGAGATTAAAAAATAACAGAATAAATAGTTCTTTTTTTTATACTACAAAAGTAAACTATAGAATACAACAGTATTTAAAAAAATAAATAAAAAGTTATGTCCCGGCCGAGATTCGAAATCCGGTCTCTCGCTTCCTAGCCCGACTTCTTACGCACTGCTCCACAGTAACTTGCTTAGCGATAATTCAATGACGGTATATAAACAAAAAAACAGGTTTATAACAATATCTTGACGATTTGAACTGGCGCGCGGAGCGTGCTCACCAATAGCGCCTGTTATCACCTGTGACGCAGCGACCAACCTGCGCAATATCATACCTTGTATTCTTTGTACCATGCTACAGGATCGCTTTTATGTATGGAAACGGTCGATTATTAGGTAGAATATAGGAGGTACCGCAAAAAATTAAATTCAAAAGATATATGATTTTTAAATATCTATTAGCGAGTAATAAATTTAAGTATACAGGGTCGTTCATAAAGTCGTGGCAATTCAAAGTTTTATTTTTTTAAACAGAACCCCCCGTATATTATTACATATTTCAATTCTTCCTTAGATTCTAAACAAAAATCGAAATACACACAATGTACATCATACCAACCGTTTCCGAGTTATTGACTTTTGAAAATATCACTTAAACAATTCGATTTAATTAATTTCGATGTGTTTGGTTTGATTTAATGATGTCATTCTGCCGAAACTGCGATACTGTTTTAATGGATTTTTAAATTTCTATTAGCTACTAGTAAATTTAACTATACAGGGTCGGTCATAAAGTTGTGCCACATCAAACTTTATTTTTTTTAAATGTAACCCCCTGTATATTATTGTATATTTCAATTCTTCCTTCAATTTTAAGGAATAATCGTAATACACAATGTACTTGAAGAGTTTAAATGTTAAACGAACATTTTGTAATTTCCAGACTTGTATACTCTCATTTTATACATCTATAAATGCTAACTTGAGAACTAATGTCAAATAATATTAAGTATCACAGTTTCGGCAAAATGGCATCGTCAAATGAAACTGAACATATCGAGATTCATTGATCAAATTGTTTAAGTGATATTTTCAAAAGTCAAGAACTGAAGTGCTTAGAACTTTTGAAAATATCACTTGCTTAGAAGTGCTTAGAACTGAAGCACAAATTACCTATAACAGATGCGAAAGAAAGCGACTGCATCGGAAACCGCTCGGCAAACCCGACACGCCTATTGAGTGGTGTAAATACACCAGTCGTTTAGTCCGGAAACCTATGCTGTGTCGTATTCGCTTGCTGGAATGACATAGTGCGTGGTTATATGTTTCTTTTTAAAAACGCGTGTAGGATTTTTGTTGAACTTTTAAACTGTTATTTCTAAGTTTTGGTAATTTGTATATCTTTTTTAAAATGGGATGTGTTTATTTATAAGGAAAAAAAAGATATTTATAGTATAAAAAATTAATTTATTTAACAAAATTTAATTAAAAATGTGACAAAATAGTTACCTTTCTATTGGTTCTATCGGACTTTTTTCGACTATATAAATCTTTATTTGTAAACTTTAATACATCAAATATTTTTAATTTAATAAATCATTTAATGATGTAAATAAGAGGAAATTTCTCACATGGGTGGTCAAATTTTATAGTTTTCATTATATCAAACAGCCTCTGAGAAATGTTTTCAATTCAAAATGCCTTTAATTATGTTTGACTACATCATTAAAAAGGGTCTTCAAATACATCAATGTGATATTTGTCTAAAATTTGCAAAAGAATCCGAATCTCTGGATAACTCGAAATTATTTACCCATTTAAAAGCCTTTGATCATGAAAGTGGAAAAATTTGTTCATTTTATTTACAGGCTGGAAAAATTATTTATATTAAATTTTGATGAGTTTTGCACTGAAGAAAACATTCAGAGGCTGTTTGATATAATGAAAACTATAAAATTTGACGACCCATGTGAGAAATTTCCTCTTATTTACTTATCATTAAATTATTTAATTGAAAATATTTTATGCATTAAAGTTTACAAAAAATAAAGATTTATATAGTCGAAAAAAGTCCGATAGAACCAATAGAAATGTAACTATTTTGTCACATCTTTAATTACATTTTGTTAAATAAATTAATTTTTTATAGTATAAATATCTTTTTTTATTCCTAATCTCCTACGAGCTGATATAATATGACGAGCAATCTATTAAATTACTGTGAGATTATACAGAAAAGTCCACAGACTTCGAGACATAGGAAAATCAAGTCTGATTAAGTCGATTTAGTGTGTATCAAAATTTTGAGAAGTTTTCAAAAATGACAGTTTTGTTTAGACTGACGTTTAATTTCACCTGACTTCTCGGTGAATGATTTCTTTTTATGGGGGTACATAAAATCTTAAATTTACGGCCATGAAGAAATTCAAAACTTGGAGCAGTTAAAGCAGAAAATATTTAATGCCTTTGACACTGTCACCCCTGATATGTTATCCAATGTGAGGAGGGGATTTTATGATCGTTTGGGTTATTGTTTAATGCAAGAGGGAGGCACTTTTGAACAATTTTTGTAATTTTTTAAATTTCATTATCCTGTTTTTTTACCGTTTACCCATTACCTACCTTGACGAACATGGGAAAACGAAGGTCCTTTTCAGGACCACAAACATTTTGATTGAGAAAATTGGTAACTTTTTTTTGGATTAAAACACAAAAGTTGTTAATATAATACCAATTTAAAAGTGTTTTTGTAGTTTTAATACACACTATGATATAAAATTTATTATTATTATAATGCACATTATTAATACTATTGTTCATTCGAAATGGCATTAAGGCCCAATTGCAACAATGATTTAAATTTTTCTTAAAGATAAGTAGAGCCAAAGAATATTATAGTTTTGAGTAGAGTATTAAGATATTCTTTGGTAGAGCTTAGAATGAGCTGTATTTATATCTATTTTAATATTCACCTTAAATGAGGGAATTTGACTGATACAATTTTTGAATTTGAATTGTTCAATTTTTAATAAAATTTATTTAATATTAATAGAAATCCAAGAAATTTGAAACCTCTTTTAGCGATTTATACTTTGAATAAGAAGACTAAGGAAGGAGCATATCAAAAATTTTAGGTACACCGCGATGGGCCTCAAATATGGCCGACTTAAATTCCGGTTTATCAGTGTCGTTCTAATTTTATTTAAAAAATGTAAAACTATGATGTAGGGTAGACGTGGGGTAGACTCAATAATTTGTTGATTTATTTTACGTTGTGAATAAATGTTGGTAGTTATTAAAATTGTTATAAAAATATACAATTCTAATAAAAATAGATAAGTTATAATAAGTATTTATTAACACAAACATCCGATACGCTACTGAAGCAGGTAAGTCAAATTAACGTATCTAAATTCTTTGACATCTAATCTTTGACAAGTAATAAATAAAAGCTAAAATGCAAGAAAAATATATAATTTAGTTACTTTAAGTGAATTTCATAAATGATCGGTTTACTACACGTATGTATTTTATATAGTCACTTACTAGCGAAAAGTTGTTCCATTATTTCACTCAATTTTTGCCGAGATCTACCGCACGCTACACAACCAACTATTTTAGAGTCTTTTTCGATAAATCGCGATAGTGTCACTGTTAATTTAAGTTCTGCCACAATTTCCATCTAGATTTACTACCTTTATACAACTATCAGTAGTAGAATAAATAATAAATAACATAAAATAAGCTCCATAAAGACTGACAAATCCACAAAATTTCAAATCAA